TGTCACTGAATGGCAACACAGCAAATATACACTGGCAGCCCACCCAAACCCAAGTGTTCAAATCACTAACTCCAAATGAGTCTTATCAACCAACTGGTTGATTCTGTACTGTATATTAACAGGCAGGATTTAATATTGTAAAATTATGAGCTGATGGGAGTAAAAAGGTAAGGTAGTAGTTCTCAGGTTAAAAATTTAGGCTGTGATTCATCTGATGGAGCTGCACTGACATTACACCAACAGACACATCTGCCTTAGGAGAATCCATATTGTCTCTGGAGCTAGTCCTTTGCACTTGCATAGCTCCTGCCAGACCAGTCATAGAGCTCCAGCAGTTCCAACCTGGAATTTGTTTTTAAGGATACAGTTCAACAGAACACACTTTTTGCACTGCTCTGTTAATAAACCACAAACAGCATGTCTTTGTGTGGGATAGCTGAAGGAAAACTTTATAGATTTGTCTTACGTTCCCTCTGCCATCACCTCTGGGCAGATGAACCCAAGCCTCTTCTAACAGGCAGACCTGCAGTGCAGCCCAGCACCAGAAAATCACACCAGAGCCCTTCCAGCTCTTACATCAACAGAAATAAAAGTAGTGCAGGTGACAAAGCAGCTTTGCTGCTGCTGCACAGCTGGCACAGACTCTGCTCTCCCCACTGCACGGCTGCCTTGTGTGATAAACAGTAACTGAGCAAACACAGCAGAGAGGCAAGTCCTGCCTTCACCCTCAAAATGCTGCAATGCTCTCAGCCTTACAAAGCCAGCCTGACAGAAGTAACTCTACTTCCCTGCTTGTTTTTAAAAAAACAGTACACAAGCAAACTGGGAGTTCGTGCAAGTCCTTGTGGAAAGCTGGCAGCAATGCCTCACTGCAGAGCAAGCAGCCCAATTTCCACATCTGCACTTGCTCACCAAGGCTCCTCTCAGTCAGCACTGGAAAATCACACAGAAAAGAGCAGGGCTTTCCAAAATCACTCTCATAAAAATGAGATTTGGTGCTTTCCTTCCTGTTCTTTAAAACAACAAGTTTCAAATCCAGGCCAAGCCCCAGTCTTCAGGTGAAGTATCAAATGGACAGACAGGGAAAGGAAGGGACCCCAGTGTCTGTGGCTCACTGCAGACCCCACCTCGCTGTCTCAAAGCCCCGCAGAGCTAGTTCTCACAGTTCTGCCTCTCTTCAGCAACACGCTTGAGGACTATCATAAACCAGCATTTTCTTCCCTGATCAGAGACAAGAGTTGAGTAGGAGCTTCTCTGCAGCTTTTCCTTTCCCAGCAAAGGAGAACAACATGGTTACCAGCCACAGACACACAGGTGTGTAACTACTCCAGGACAGCCCAGATGTCTCTTCCTGCCATATGCTTAATTAATGGTGGATGTCAGAAGTGATGAGAGGCCTTGCTGCACCCTGCATGGACGAAAGCGTTTCACTTTAGGAATTCTCACTCACACAGTTAACCATTTCCCCAGCTTGCTCTGACAGCTGCTGCCCTTGGGCAGGGAGGGATGTGCCTGCATTAGCAGCAGCCTGACATACAGAATGGCCTCCCCATCGTTCCAGCAGCACCCTGGGGTGGTCCCCAGCACATTTCTGTCTAAGTGCAGATTATTGCTGCCTAGAGTTAGACATTTCAATGATCTGGGTGTTAGATGGAAAAGTCAGGAAAAAAGGATGTGTTTGAACAGCATCTTGGACAATGAAGGATCTCTTGTCCAAGAGGATCTGTGGATATTCCTGGAAAGCATGTAATGGAGATCACATTCACTGTACTCCTGTTACCTGCTCGCCCAGCTTGCACCTGCAGCACCCTGCCCAGGGCAGGGATGTGCACAGCCTCACACAACACAGCCCACCCCAGCTGGCTGCATCACACTGCAAAGTGAAAGCCAGACTCCCCAGCACTCTGAAGGGAAAGCTGGGAGAGGGGAACTTGCTGGAGCTCCCCTCTGCCTCACTGGTTAGTTGGGGAGCATGTCACCCCTCAGAGCCATGCCTAAGTCCTCCCTTGCACGATGAGCCATTTGCAGACAGGTTTTAACCTTGCTCCCCAGGGCTGCAGCCATTTCCAAAGCCAGGTATGCAAGCAAACAGGCTTGGTACTGGGAAGAGCATGTGTCACTTGCCCATCCTGCTCTCCTCCTTCACTTGGCTCATGAGCAAGTACCAGCACATGGACTGTGATGGCAGCACACTCCTTACGCTTTGTGCAGCCTGGGCATCCCACAGCACATCCAACAGGCAAAATAAGTAGGAAAACATAAAATTGCATCTTTAATTTTGAGCAGTCTAACCCTGCCACATTCACCACTATCTTTGTCTTGAGAGGTGAGCATTGCCTTCATCATTCCTTTCTCCCTTTTGTCTTGCAGCCAATTCTGCTTTTCTCCTCCACCCTGCCTACCCCCCATTCTTCTTTTACTTCCAGTATTTCTTGTGCCACGAAATGGTGAACACTCTTAAACCTTGCTCCCTCCTCCAAAACAGAGAAATTGTACTAGATTAGTGTAGATTAGCAGGCTTGGCTAGCACCTAAGTTTCTCAAGCTTGCAAACAGTAATACATACATGAGTGTTCAGCAAAAGAGCTCCACAAAGTCATTCATAACTGAAAGGCAGAGAACTTGCAAGTCATGCCTTGAAACCACTGCCCCAACACTCCCAGCATCCCAGTAAAAACAAGTTGGAGCCTGCCCTAAAATCAGTGGCCAGGAGGTTTGTGTTTGTCCAAGATGAACAAACAAATTACTGGAGAAATGAGAAATAAAAATCAGTGCAGGGGCTGGGGTATAACTCATGACACAGCACATCTGTCCACTTGCTACGGAAACTATGTTTGGCAAGTATCAGGTGTCTGAATTTCTGCTTACGTACATCTCCCTGGACAGCAGTGTATTAATAACACAGGCAGCCTAAAAACAGAAACTATCACCAAGAAAGCTGCTCTTCTGCCGAGGGCTCCTTGCTGTAGCCTGGGTATTGTTGTGCTTTCCTCAATTTTGCTTCCTTGCTGTTCAGAGTTGCCATCTAAGCTGATCTCAATTGAAGGAAGATGAACAAACAAAAGGAAGGGAAAGGAAAATTACAGCAGGAAGCAACCCTTATTGTGAGCAGTTTTCTTGAACGTCTTCCCATCAAGGCTCACACTGCTATGTGACTCTGGAGAGCCAGCAGCAGCCAGGGGTTTGGCTTAAAGGCACAAACCTTTCTAAGAGACTGCCAGAAGCCAAAGTCCTTCATGCAGGGGACATGCAGGAGCTCATGCAGCTAGACAGGACAGCCCTGTCATGCAAGCAGCATGAGAAGCCACTGAATCAAACATGGAAGAAAGCATCAAGTGGACACAGGCAGGGGCAGAACACTGGGCACAGAGAGGAGCACAGCAACAGCAGCAGAGTGGGAAGAAATCAACTTAGTGTTCAAAATGCAGGACAAGGCATTGAAATGGGAAGCACAAGAATGGAGATACTCAGGCTTTGAGGAACGTGGAACTGCACAAGAGAAATTACTCTGGATAAACTAAGTTTCCTAAAGAGCAGCTTTAACTCGGCAGCCTAGAAGGAGCACTTGTGGCAGCACCAGAGAAATAGGCAATTTTCGTTAAGATCAGTATCAGGTTTCTCATGTATTCTCAAGCTGTGCCGTGAGTCACACCAGTGCAGCCACTCACTCACCGCCTGGAGCTTTCCTTACAAACGCGCGTTTCCCAGGAACCCTTGTGCTGCGGCACGGCCACGCAGCTGAGTCGTGCTGCCCCCCGGTGTCTGGAGATTCAGCTTCCACCAGGAGAAACGCAGCCACATTTCTAGTTCATCCTGACTCAACAGCCATCTTTATGTGCCCAACACAAAGTCAGGAACATGGATTTCAAAAGAAAGCTGTCTATTCTGGGCAGATGCATTTTTGCTTCTTTTCTGTTGCTCTCTGCTGTATGATGCCAAGGCAGAAGTTTTTCAGGGCTGCACATCAGATACATACACATAAGCAATTTCTGTCAACCGTTGTGGTGGTTGTATATTTCAAACCTCAACTGAGCCTCTATTTCCCATGGGTTTGGGGTGCAAGCACTGCCTATTCCTCATCAAACAAGGGAAGAAAGCCTGCAGATGTACACAGCAACGCTTCCATTAAAAGGCAAGGACTGCCTTGACCACTGGGTTGGTGAATAGATTCCCCTGGCCTGCCCAAGGTGACAAGGATTTGATATGAAGATGCACTTGTCCAAGTGGCTTCCTCAACAAAGGAGAATGATCTGAGTCACCTAGACGATGTTGTTATGATCCCATAATGACATTGTCATTATGATTATTCCAGTGATCAGGCCAGATAGATCAGAATCAGCAAGGCCAATGGTTTAGATTCATTTTTCTCTGCCAGGATTTCAACTAAAATAGCCAAGGAATTAGTGCCAGCCACCTACCTACTTAGGTGGTTATTATCACCTATTTGGGCTTTCCTCTAAAATCTTCTGCCAAGCCTGACCAGCAGCCAACAGCACTAGAGTGTTTAAGATAACAAAAGATGAAGGCCAAGTACATGCACAGAACCCAATCTGGGATTTCTACAGATCTCAGACTTGCATTAAAATCTAAAATCATTAAAATTCTAAGTGCACAAATTGCCTGTTCAAGCAGGACTGCCATCTGGCAATACCTGCCATCTGCAATGACAAGATAGCTGGAACAAGAATGAATCTTAATGCATTACAAAAAGCTGCACTCAATTCTCTGAACTCATACTACTGCTGACATAAACCTGCCTTTGCACTCCTGGTTATTAAAATATTTCAATGTGCTTATCACCCCCTGAAGCAGAAGATAGCCTTGGTTTCATGCAAGCAGCAAAACTAAAATGCAGCAACAAAGGACAACAGAACTGCCAGTAGAACTCAGACTGCTCTGAGTATTGGTGCGTCTTCGAGAGCCTCAATCGGTGCACATATACGAGAACTTTCACAAAACACAGACATTCAGTTAAACAGAGGAACCATTACCAAGAGCAAAGAAAGTTGAAAAATTGTATTTTTTTTAATAACCTGTCATTAATTATAAATTTAAGATACAGTTGCTTGCATTAGCAAACTTTGAATGGACAGCCTCACATCTTTCCAAACAGGGAGCACTAGATACGAGTTATAAAATTAATCGGGCACTTGTGAGCACAAAGTCAAGAATATCTTCCTAAGTCCCTTGATGGGTAAACCAGAAGGACAAGATTTGTGAACAGAGTCCTTGCCTAAGAAAACCTGAAACACTCTAGGCAGGATGAACCAAGTCAGGGCAGCACACCCAGTAGAAGCTCCACCTCAATAGTTTTTTATATTGAGAAAAAAAAGGCTATAGCCACAAAAATTTTAAGTCTGTTTCTGTTTCTTCAGGCTTGGCCTTTGCCTTGGCTGTTTCTTTGGTCTCTGCACAGCGTTCTTAACACTGGCAGAGGGAAGCCTGACAGTGACTTCATCATCCTCTGTGTCATCATCCATCTGAGCAGCTTTCCGGCGCTCGAGCACTGCTGGAGTACAGACTGGAGTAGGACCCTGAAGAGATCAGAAAAACGGTTCACTGCAAAGCCATCTGTCAGAAAAAGCTGTCACTGCCCCTGTGGTACCACAAGACACCTCAGCCCAGCTCTCCTTCAGACAATTGGTTACATTTTACAACTAGCTACTTTTGTAGACATTATTTCTTTGGACAAAAGCATCACCTTCAAAGAAGTGTATGTGAAAGGCAAATGGAAATTAATTCACATTTTTTAATGTGTTGTTATGCACATTTGCTTTCTAAACTTTGTATTTCCTAACTCAAAGCATCACAAAAGTCAAGTGGAATATAATCGGGGCAACAGGGCAGTGGGTGAGGGAGTATATTTGAGACTGGCATACAGAAATGCCACATTCAATTTTACAACAGAGCTGAAACATCCCACCTTCATTACATCAGTAAGCCTTCAGAACTCAGCTGACAAAATGTATTAGTTATCCTATCTTCCTCACAACCAGCCATACCCCAATTATAACAAATAAACCCAGTAATAATAAAAATCCCCAAACAAACACCACCCCCCAATTCACAACGATGAAACAGAACAGAAATGTTAATGCCTTAAAGACTTTTTAGACTGCCAATATCCCAAATCTCAGTCCTGATGACCTGAATTCCCTACTGCTACATTTACCTGGCATTTGTTTCCAAAACACCAAATACTGTGCCTGGAGAGCATGGGGTAGGAGAGACAATACAGTACAGAAATGGGGACAGACAGCACTAGACTGTATTAACAATTCAACTCCCTTTTTATCAAAACAGGCTGGCATTGAAACATGGTCCAACAGGATGACTCCATCAAGGAGATCATGTCATCCCAGGGTAAAGCACAGATGCAGGGGGTGTACAGGTGCCTGGCCCCAGCACCCTGCACTACTGCAGCCTCAAGGGAGTGTGAACAGCAGAGGCTGACAGCAGAGACACCGAGGGACAGGCACTGCTGGTTACAGCGTGCTGAGCAGAAGCCTTTGCTGCTGAATACTCCCACAGGAGAAGGAACCACAAGGATTCTATCACCCTCCCCCATTCAAGAGTGTAAATACATCTCAAAGGAGCTACTTCTGGCACAAACATCTCTCAAGCAAACAATGTTAAGGTTTTTGTGTGTTGAAATCAGCATTAAGGTGCCAGCTGAAGACTGGTGTGATGGTATTGGACACCACCAGGACTGGTCCATCTTACCTGGCTGCTCAAAGAAACGTTCAGTTTTGATTTCCTGGATGTTTTAACTTTTTTTCTCTTTTTGGAAAGCGCCTGTGCAGCCTAAGAAGCAAGACAGATCAGCTGGATCATTACACACTTGTGAGAAGATGCAGTCACTTAAGAGTTCACAGATTTGTTTCATAAATACAAAGTCTTTGCTATGGCAAATAGGTTTAAAGTAATAAATTGACTGACACAGAGGTGATCGGATTTGAACAAAAACACCAAAAGCAACACAAGAAAATGTGCTACTCTGCATTTTTAAAACACTCCATGTTAAAAGAGCATTATCTGCTCACAAGTCAAGTACTTGACCCAAGCACTCTGCAGAGGAGGAACGTGCAAGGGCTGTGAATGGAAGTTCTGGTCTTGGGACCTGCCTTCAAAACCCCCACTCTGCCAAAGCCTCCCACAGGGCTCAGGCAAAGCCCCTCTGCTCTTTGGTGATCTGCACTCCAGTATTCAACCACAGAATATCCAACTGCTTGTACCAACAGAAGAAAAGGAACATCTGCCCTTTGCTGCTGCCCATTATTTCTCTACAAGTAAACACAAAGGCACATGGAGTGCAGCACAGCGACAGCACCACACTGAATCCCTGGAGCTTCTATACAGCTCCTAACACAAGTGGCCTCCCTGGGGCTCCAGCTCTTTTGTTAGTTCCACACAAAACACATAATTTCCATGTATGCAGCACAACTCTACAAACACATCTTGCTTAACACACTCACTGAAACAATGCCCAACTTACAAATCCTGGGAAGTCATACTCGAGCCCCTTTTCAGCCAGCTTCTTCCGCAGCAGCCTCTCCTTCCGCAGCAGGCGCTTGGTCATCCTGGCCTTCTCCACCAGGGAGCGGATCCTGTTGTAGCGCCGCACAGCCGGCTGGGAAGGCTTCCGAAAGATCTTGTCACAGTCTTTGAAGAGGTTTTCATGGACCTTCTCAGGAGGCATGAACTGACCTGTACCACACACAGGACATGGGGCTACAGCAGAGCTCCCCTTCCTGCCAAGGGCACTCACACAACACAGCTCACGGCTGCAACACCGTGCTGGTGCAGCGAGTCAGGAGCACAGAAAAACAGAAAAGGTCACTGCATCCTCAGCCAGTAAGAGGGAGGGAGGGAGGGAGGGATAAAACAGTTTAACAGTTTCACCCAGAAAAATCAGACAAAACTGCTCTACAACAACACGTCAACTCGTAATCCTTTACAAAGAAAGCTCTACTGTCACCATGACTGAGAAACTCAGTGATTTCAACAATCTTTTACCCAAAACCTCCTTCCGTCAAACCTTACAGACAACACCTGCAGCAGTTACAAATGCCAAGGAGTTTCCATGTGAAAGGAACTATCTCTATAGCAAACCCAACTTTTTCCTGAGATTTCATGTTACACAGTCACTAGGAGCAATGTCAGCCCAGAGAAAAAACCAGCACCAGTGACCAAAAGCCTGCTGAGCATGTTCTTTACACATGATGAAAAGCTCAGCCCCACAGAAAATACTTCTGGGACAAAACTTCTTTAAAAAAACCCTAAGATTCTATGCTCAGTCAAAAAATATAACTGAAATAACTACAAGTCATTTTGCTTTGCATGCTAGAGGACTTACAGTGGAGTTTGTACTTACACTTCAGCAGTCTCTCAGAAAACAGGTAGTTATTCATTGTGTCTGCAACGATCTTGGCCACATCATCAGACTCAAACTCCAAAAATGCATAACCTTTGCTGCCTCCAGTCTGTGAGTGACAAGTAATAAATATCAAACAATGCTTTGCTACCTGAAGGGCTCTATTAAAATTATTTTATTCTTCCAAAGTCATAGGCTATTCTCAGATAACCACAAGTAATTTCACAAAGGTGACTGAAATTGTGAAAAACACTCGATTTAGTCCTAAATTGGTATGACATTATTTGTAAAATACATATTTTTACACAAAACAAACTAGTCACAGGTATCTACTTGTTAAAAAAAAAAAAAAACCAAAGCTGCTCTGCATTGCTGCTGTTCCACTATTCCATGCTGACAGCAAACCCAGAAGAAATTAGATTTATCGAACACAACAAGCAAGTTAAAACAGAATCGTGGCACTTCGGTTGTACCTTGAACTGGTGTGCTCCGGCACATCCCAGTGCGGTGAATTTACTCACGGAAAAAGGACCGCAGGAGCCGTGGCCCAGCCGCCGCCTCGCAGTCGGGGCCAGCCCCGGCCTCGCCGCTCCCACGTGCGGCTCCCGAGGGCCTCGGGGCGCTGCGGCCTCTGCGCGTTCCGCCGGCCCTCGCTGGGCACGGGGAGAGCCCCGGGGGTCACGGGGCCTGCCCGGCCCGGCCAGCGCTGCGAGCGCTCCGCCGCACCGCGGTACGGCCCGGGCCGGGGCCGCTCCTCACCTTCTTACTCCTGGAGAGCCGCAGCCGCGTCACCGTCCCGAACTGCCCGAAGTACTCGCGGAGCTGCGGCTCGCACAGGCCCCGCGGGAGATGCCCCACGAACACCACGCCCGGCGTCAGCTCCTCCTGCGGGCACGGACACTGCGTCAACCCGGGCTGGGACTCGCCGGCCCGCCCCTGCCCCGCCGGCCGGCCCCGCTCACCTTGGCCGTCCGCTTGGTGCGGGCCCGCTGCACCTTCTGCTGGAACTGGCGCTGCAGCCGCGGCTCCAACGCCAGGAGCGGCGCCGCCCTCACGGGCGCGGAGGGCGCGGGCAGCTCCGCCGCCACGGCCTCGCCCGCCGCCATGCTGCCTCTCCGCCGCCGGAAGTGCGTCACTGCCCGCGCGCCGCGCCGCGCGCCCGGACGCCGTCTCCCAGCAACGGGCCCGGCCCCGGCGCCGGGAGCGCGGCCGGAGACACGGGCACGGGCACGGGCACGGACACGGGCACGGGCACGGGCACGGCCGGGGCGAGAAGCCCGCCCTGCGAGCGACCAGTCGCGCCCGCGGGGCGATCAGCGCTCTCTGGGCACCCTCCCAGCCGCCTCTCCGCCCGTCGCTGGCTGCTCCGGCCGCTCAGGCGGTGGCGGGGCAGCCCGGCGCGGCGCGGCAGGCGCGGAAGGCCCGGGGGGCGGGAAGCGGCGGCGCCATGTCGGTGAGCGAGATGTTCGCGGCGCTGCAGGCAGCGCTCGGCCAGGACCAGGACATCCGAGAGGTGCCGGGCGGGGACGGTGCGGTGCGGGCGCGGGGCGGCGCGGGGCGGTGCCTGGGCTGACGGCGCGCTGTGCCCGCAGGAGATCCGGAAGGTGGTGCAGGCGCTGGAGCAGACGGCGCGGGAGATGCTGACGCTGCTGCAGGGCGTGCACCAGGGGCCCGGCTTCCAGCACAGTGAGTTCCGCGCCGCCGCGCCCGGGCAGCGGAGAACGGCCGCAGGGCGGGAGCGCCCTCGGAGCACGCAGGTGCCCTGCCCCGGGGCGCCTTTTCCAGGTTCCAGCCTCTCCCGGGGCCTCCAGCCTGGGTTTCCCGAGGCTGCTGAGGAGAGGGCAGTGGGAGGTTTCAAGCCGGACAAGTAGTAAAGCTGCCGTTCAGCATTATGGACATCGTTCTGTCACTTTCTCCCCTCCCTAGCGTGGTGCTTTTCTGTCTCGGTGCAGAGCAGCGTGTTCTTTTCCAGGTGTTCACGTCCTGGGCTGCTGAGTTGGCTCCTAGGTTTCCCTGTAAGTGACTTGCACATAGGTTGTGTTATCATCACTTGTTGGGCCTTTGATCAATGTCCCCATCTCATCTCTTCACCCCACACCCCAAAAAAGCTGTGGTCCTGAGTGCTCAGGGGTATTCAGGATGGACTGGGATGGGGGGAACACACTTCAGTCTGGTTTGTACAAAACAGATTGTGTGTATGAAATCTGCTTAATGCAGCAAAATGTAGAAAGAATTTGCACGGGCTGAAGCAGCAGGACCTGCTTTTGATGTTTGCTTGAGTGACAGCAGGAATTGTTCTGCAGCTTTGGAGGTTTGGGTTGTCATCAGCCTGGTTCCAGGCTTCTCAGGTGTTGGACAGAATGTTTCTGGGCCAGCCCATTTCTTCCAGGCCACAAGAGCAGCCCTGCAGGCCCAGGTGTCAGATCTGCTCTTTTTGCCCCCTCATTTCTCAGCTTTCTGGTAAAACTACTGGAATAAACTTAAATATGTCCCTTTAGAGCTGGGTTTTTCCCAGTCAATTAATATCTTGTGAGAAGCAGCAAACATTCTGACTTTGCTAGAAACTCTTGAGAGGAATTTGTGCAGGCCACCATCCCCAGGTGCTGTTTTACTCCCTTGCAGGGCTGATTGGTTGTTTTCAGCCTGATGAGGTTCCCCAGCACACTGGGGCTGGAGCTGGAGGCCTGGGGTTCCTCTGGCCTCAGAGAAAGTCTGTCTTCAGCAGTGAGCAGCACCTGAGGTTTGAGCTGTGCAGGCAGGTGCAACTTCCATCTGCTGGGAGACCCAGCAGTGCTGGAAGTCAGAGCTGCTGAGTGATTTGCACAAGCTCAGTTCTCTAACCTGGGAAAATCCATGGTCATTGTGTGGGTAACAACTTCAGAGTCGTTTTCAAGCATGTAGTTGTAGAAGCCCATGTTCAACTCAGTGTATTTTCACTTGATTTCTAATTCCTGGAGAGAGCTGGTCCTGGAACTTGAGGAGTCTGAGAAGAGATTTGGAATAGTTAAAAAAAAGAACAAAACCAACTGAGAAAATGCAAAACAAAAAAAATCAAACCAAAAAACCACAAATAAATAAACAAAAACCAATCAGACAAAAAACCTGAAGCCTCAAAATTCTTGCAAAAATAATGAGTTAAAGCTTAATAGGTCAAGAGTTAATTTGTGATAGCAGACCTGTGAATTTGTCACCAATTTCAGCTCTGTTACTAAAACCATGGGATAGTTGGGAGTTTGATGGATGGAAGGCAGCTTTAAGTACCACCAGTGGCTTTTAAAATGTCATCTGGCAGAGGCTTCCCTGGCTGCTTGTCCCAAATGGAGCTGGAGGGCTGCAGAGAAGCCAGGCAGGGCAGTGTTGCCTGAGAGCAGTCAGGGTGACAGGTGGGGCCTGAGAGCCAGCTCGGTCTTTGCTCTTGTGACTGCAGAACATCAGAGGTGGCACCTGAGGAGACTGCTTCTGGTTGTGCAAGGGCAGTTTGAATTTGGGGGCTGTGTGTGTGTGTGTCACTGGGCATTAGACAATGCCCTTTACAGTAAGGATTGTTTCTTTTATATTCTGCCTCTGGCAGAACCCAAACGTGAATGTGTTCCTTACTCTGTTCCCCAGCTACGTGATGCTCACATGGCTGAGGCAACCCTGTAGCTCTCAGTGAGCTTCACACAACTCTTTCATCCTGGCTGCCACATGGAGCACTCTCACATTCTGCTTCCTGAAGCTTTCATTTTTTCCATGTCATTCTCCCTCTCTTTTTTTAACCAGAAATTATATGTTATTCACAGAAGTTTTATAATCACACTTGAGTGGCTTTTAGTAGGTGTTGTTTGGTAAAAACCATCAAGCTTTCAGATTTAGCTTCAGGAGGGCCTGTCAGGTTGATCTTTACCCTTCCTTGTGCTGTGGCCAGGCTGTCACAGCTGTGAGAGGCTGCAGGGAAGCTGTGGCTTGAGCCCGTGGGCCGGCCGCTGGCACTGCAGCTGCGGCGGGGCTGTAGCCCTGCCGCCGAACGGGAGGTGGCAGTGGCTGCTGCAGGAACCAGAGATCACTTCTCTGCAGTGTGTAACACACTGGGCAGGCTGGAACACAGGCTCTGCAAATACATCGGGAAAAGCAGGAAATGCAGTTTTATGAAGGGATGTTGCATCTCATGTAACCAAATTCTGATGGATTAGAAAAAAAATAGGATAAGTTTTTAATACAGAGAAAGAAAAGTTGCTTTTCCTTCGACTGTGAGAGTTGTCTGGCAGCAGTGCTTGGTGTGTGCTTCCTTTGGGGCCAGCTGCTGTGTGCAGTGCTGTTCCATTGCTTGGGATCTGGCTGTTGCTGGGACATCTTGGTTCAAGTTCAAAACAAAGGCCCAGAGCAGATCAGACAACCTGGAATTCCAGAGTCTTTCTGCTTTACCTCTATGGCTCATGGTGTCACCAGGAATATTTCTCAGATTGATTCCAGGTGTCAGCAGCCTTTCTTGAACAAGAAAGAAGTGTAAATAGCACTATCTACACTGGGAAACTTTATTTACAAACCTCTGCTGCCTGTCAAATATACATTTCCTGTGTGTATTCATTCCCTGAATGCTGTCCTGTTTCTTTTTCAGTTCCAAAGAAGTGTCAGAAGGCTCGTGAGCACTTTGGTACAGTGAGGACACAGATGGAGTCTCTGAAGACCAAGTTTCCTGCTGATCAGTATTACAGGTGTGCAGAGTCACAGCCAGACACATAGTATGGGAATTGCTTGGGCATCATTGCTTTGGAATAATGATGTAAAGGTTGATGGGTTGAATGCTTCTTTCTCTTTGGAAAGTAAATCCTGGTAGACAAGTGAGGTTTTTATCAGCATAGATAAAAAATGCTTTTGCTCAAACACTGCAACTTTTCACCAAATATAGTCAGTATTGAATTATTTTTCTGGAAATTTTCTTACAAAAGAAAAAGGGAAGCTTAAGAAGTTGGTGTTCTGCTGGAGTTGCCCTTGTATCTGGGAGCAAGGCATTTGCTGCTCCATTAATTTCAGTTAAGTTGTTCGGTTTGGGGTGTTCCTGGAAGCAGAGCTCTAAATCTGTCATGAAATGGCTGTTTGGTTCTGCAGACACTAAATGAAGTTGTCACCTTTGTGTTCTGTTGCTGCCAGAAGGGGACAGTGCCTGGCAAGAACAGTTCAAAGAAGAAGAATCTTGTCAGCTCAGATCTGCTGAGGGAAAGCTCTGGCTGTCTGTGGGCAACACAGCCTGGAAAAGTGTGGGAGCTGAGGAGGTGTGTGAGAGGGGAGAACAAATGTCAGTGTCTGGTGTGGTAACCTGGGTGTGGAGTTCTGGAGTACCAAGGAGATGTCTTTTAGCTGGTGTCATTTTGATAAACCAAAAATACTGTAAAATGCATGTGTTAAGGCAGAAAACACAACACACATAATGTGTGCTTATTGCCTAACGCTCCAGTAAGAAACATTAATTACTTATACCTTGACCTGGTGTTTTTTCTGCAGGTTTCATGAGCACTGGAGGTTTGTGCTGCAGCGGCTGGTGTTCCTGGCAGCATTCGTAGTCTACTTGGAGTCAGAAACACTAGTGACCCGAGAAGCTGTTGCAGAAATACTTGGGAGTAAGTTAATGTTGTAACCAAAGACAAAAAGCTTGTGACCTTAGACATTGTAGCTTTCAGAGGTGCAGGGAAACAGCAGAGCTTCATTTCTTCCAGAGTTTATCTGGTATTTGATTTCATTATGTAAACAATAGATTCTCAGAAGATGGAAACTGGAAAACCTAATGTTAACGAAAGTATTTATTCATTAATAAGTTCTTCGTCAATGAAGGTCATTCATTCAAAGTGTGTAAATGCACCAAAAGTATGGCACAAAGATGAGAGCTTGTTTCTCTAACTTCTTGCTTTTGGTATCTAAAAAGTGTGTAAAACAGATTAAATTCTTGCCATGAAAGAGTTGTATCTTCACAGAGCAAAATATTTGAAAAAAGTAAGAAAAATACATCCTGTATATAGATGTAAATCCAGTTACTCTGTTGGATGCGCAGTTGAGGATGCACAAGATGCTGAATCAAGAGCAGAGAGGCTGTAATTACATCACATACAGGAAAAGGCTGACTTTTATTTTGTAATAGTATTTCATAGAT